GCAGTTGTAAAGATGTGTCTTTAATTTGACGGCGCTCTTATAATCAACTTTTTATTACGCTTAATACTATTCAATTATACAAGTTTGAAAGTGTGTCGTATATGTAGTTTCTAGTTGAATATAGTGTTAATGCTTCAGTAATTCATAATGTGTGGAGAAATAAATTTATAAATGTGTAACCTTTGAGCTTCCGAAGTCGATAACTGGTTGCAGCATCGGTGCTTGCTGCTGTGCTAATCGATTCTTCACTTTGCAATTCATTGATTTCTTGTTCTTCCTCAGTACCGTTCTGTGCATACATATTAGATACTTCAATCCGTTCGCCGTTTAGAATCCGTCTCACATCTTCGTCATCTGCTTCTACTGGTCGTTCGTCACCTACACAAATCTTTTTAGCTCATGTCAAGTTTTTTTTCGGTTTATGATCCCCTAAAGTAAACATGAAAGTTTCTTTGACGACAAAAAAGATGTTGCAATCCGGAAACCTGTTCCCAGAGAATCCGTAGTCGATCCAGCATCAAGAAGACGCCCAATCATAACAAGATTCTTCTTTCTACATGCAACTTTGAGAGGTGTATCTCCATTGTTCGACATTACATTAACATTACAATTGTGCTGAAAAATTTACTGCTGTGATACAAAAAAAAGAAAAAAAATCTGTGGGAAAAAATTGGAATTCTTTAATGTTTGATTCCCCAATGAAAAATAAACCTGAGCAAGTAAAGAGACCGTATCAATGTCATCCATGTAGAGGGCTGTCAAAAGTGGTGTGTCGCCATCATTGTCAGGAATATCTATAGGAGCACCGGCCTCTATCAATGCTTCTAATAAGCTTAATTTTAGCTTTTTAACGGCGATATGAGCTGGCGTATATCCAGAATTATTTTTTTTGGCTAAAATATTCTCTCCGTTGATATCACTTTCATTTTCCACTTCTTCACTACCACTCGTTTCCAAAATTTCTTTATAAATTGCATCATTATAAACCTCTCCTAGATAATGCGCAACCTGAAAAAAAATTCGTTATTGAAATCAAAAAGTAATATTTTAGAATCTCTTGTCTATTACATTTATTTTAGGTTTAACCCATATTCAGTAATGGATAAGAGAGTTACAGAATCCACACAAGACCGATGAAATACTTCTGATCAAAAGAAGTTAATGCTGAAAGAACATGAATTTCCTTGATGTATTTATATATTGTTTGTGTGTTAATTACAATTTTTGGGGATGTTAAATTGAGGAATTACTGCACGATTTCAAATTTGTAGTGGAAACAAATTTGAGCTGTAAAAAGACTTACTGTATCCATATTATTATCTACAACATTTCTTTTGGCTCCAGCACTAATTAAATAATGTACACAGTCCGGATCACCAGCTCGTACCGCACAATGAAGCGCTGTTTGTCCTCGAGTATTTGGAGCATTAAGAATTCTTTGACGTTCCGTTTCATCGTTACATTCACATAGCACCGATAGCATTGTTTTTAACGCAAAATTTTGTTTATTACGTGCTGCTACATGTAAGGCACTGAAATTAACGGTTTTCTATCAACTTTTTCAACGGCATGTTCCCGTCATCATATTGTCTCACAAAACGTTTGGGAAAAATTCTATTTCGTATGTTTCATTTCATGGAAAAATATTTTATTAAGGCGATCAAGATTATTTAGGTTATCGGTGTAACATTTTCGATGTTACCGAAGTGAGACACGAGTATATATCAAGAAGTGAAATGACATGTCGTAGTGTTAACAATTGAGATAACATGTCGTACGTATCAAGAAGTGAGACGACATGTTATACGTTCAAGAAGTGAGATGGCATGTAGGATGTATCAATATCAGCGGAGTGGAAGGAAAAATGCTATGCTTAATTATCCTCAACTATCGGATTTAAGTTCCAAATCTAATTCAAGTAACAGGAAGTATCTTTACTAACTTTCAAGTATTATTCACAACCCACAATAAACAGTACTAGAATTCTAGATTTACTTATTTTTTTTTTCAAAGTTGGAGAAATAAGTAGAGACTTGCAGCCGTCGTTGTCAGATGTACCGAGAAGCAGCATCAATGGTTTCACCAAAGCCAATGGCTCTCCTTCGGCAGCAAATTCGAACAACGATGCTATTAACGCTTCCTTATTGACAACTTCTGCTGTATTTTGTTTATTACTCATATCACTAAAATAATTAGCATAATATTCATTTCTCGAAGACAAATCTTGAATAATTAGATTACGGTTATTCAGTCTAGAAGCAGGAAAAAGTTCAGATTACTGAGAGATATGATGCAATTCACTACTTCTTTCAAACAGATTGGAAATAGTTGGAAAATGGATCCGATCCCAATATGATATAAAAATCAAATCATATTTCTTTTTATGATTTCTATTTTTCTAATATTAGTTCTGCCACTCAATATCCTACCTTTTATTACTGCTAAATTATGCTGCTAACAATAAGGCGCAAGCGGACAATTTACATAATTACAATGTTAACTGATATTATAATCATATATTTGTTATCGAATGATGCGTAGTAAACGTTCAATCACCTGACATGCAATTGCACCGGAAGTTCCAATTGTTGTGTATCATTTCTTAAAAATATTTTGAAAATATTTGTTGCGGATGATGATGTTTTATCTATCTTCTCCGGAATCACAAGAGTCGGTAAAGAAAATATGACCAACTGAAATCATCTGTCCATTTTACACAAGCCTTCTTAATTTTAAAAGCTTTCCCCTCTTTTAGCACCATTGAAATGGTTTTTTTAACAATCATTTTTATCGGTAATTTTTTTTCCGATTTCTATTAAAAATCTGAATTATTTGATAGAATAGGATAAATTTTTACCTTATCATAAATTTTCACTCGTTCAACGGGTAACATTCGATTGCCAATATCAACGAATATGCTAACATTAATTACCGGTTTACTTAATAGCAACCATATTGTTTCTTTAGTATTCCGCACAATACTGTGACTTATTTCAATCACTTTAAGCGATTCTATAAAAATCGATTATTCATTCTTTAGTAAAAAAAAAAGAAGCTAATTAAGAGATTTGTTAAAGTGGATGAGAGGAAATCATACCGCTATTACGATGCATTACATCAGAAACAATCACTGATGAAGCACGTGGTGTTGCTGCTTCAACCATTATTCGAATACTTTCTTCTTCTTCCGCCCATCTTTCATTCACTTTTTTAGCACCATCACTACACTGTTGATTTGTTCCTGTTGATTGAATCGCATTCTCTTCAACTGTTTCAGTCGGTCTTCTAATGTATAAGTCTTCAAATCTAAAAACTTCGATACTTTATTGAAATCTTTAAAATGCTGAAAGAATTTTTAAAATTTTTCAACATTTTTGAATATGTTATATTTGACCAAACTATTATCTGTTGGTCATATAATTATATAAATAATAATGTTACTCATTAACATACAATGCAAATAGTGGAAATTTACTATCAATCATTAATTACAGTAGTATCACTATCAATCATAATCTGTTAATGTCAGTCTTATGTTCAGTTGAATCTTATTTGTAGCAGTACTTCATTAAATGATATTAAATCATCGAATAATTAAATTTGATGAGAAATGATTTAAATTTTCGGCTTCTTCTGTTCGCTTTTGCATTCCGAAAAGAACGATTACATCATTTAACATGCCAGTCTTTTTACATTTCTGAATTTCGTAACGAATGAAGCAAAATTTCGAAATGTATTAGACAGAAACAGTTTGCTTGGTTTGGTGAGATGAAAAAGTGATCGATGAAGAAAATTTACTTATGTATAGTAGATTCCGCAATATGAACGGTAGGTTGTTGCGGTGTAATGATAAGATGATGTGGTCGAAAATCAGCCGTTAAAAGATTGACGGTAACAATAACGGGTTGATTAATTGATAATGCAACAGAGAAGCTAATTGGAATATGATCCGAGAATGTTAATGAAGGTGGTGCTTCAAATTGTAATACAGGTAATGTGCTCGCACCAAACAAAGATGTAACCATACCGCACCACCTTATCTTCTCAATCCAGTTCGCTATAAAACTAACCAATGAGCGTTCATAAGGATGAAGTTCAAGTTCAAGCTGCTCAATCCTCCTTCAATATCTCATTCTCATTTCACTTCCTCATCCTTTCTATCGCTTATCAACGTTTTTTTCTAATGCAAAAACCTATCCTTTGCTTCCCGACAATCTAGTCAAAAGCAATACTTTCATCACTTAATGAAAGAGTATTGGGTCGTTAATTATATTGAAGTCTATTGCATCAATCTACTTATCTTATTTTATCTTATCTTTCATAATCATGTTACAACGTTATGCACTACTATTGCTATTGCTACTGCTGCTCTTGCTGCTACTGCTACATCTTTTTCCTTCTTACTGCTGCTACATTTTGTTGGCAATTCCTTACAGCTTTTTCTTCAAGTATGATCAGCTTGCAACAGGTGGAAATCAAATCCAATTTTCTACATTCAAATCAATACCGAAACTAATATACAATAAGATGAAAATAGCTATTACAAGTTGATAGCAATGACCTTTTGATGACAGCGTATAAGTGAATGTATTATTATGGAATGGAATAAAGGGAAGATCCCTATTTTATTTCATATGGAGAAAGGATTCTGAGAAATTGCTAAAAGAAAAAAGCAATAAAGATTTCGGAACAAGAAACAAAAATCCTTTATCGAGAACAGTGCAAAAAGGGGCAAAAACTCCTTGGGTAATGAACCACACGAGATCTCTAAAACTGTATAAGCAGAAAAACTGACATTCAGAATAAATCGCCACACAAACTGACCGAATTCTTGTCTAAATTCATTTAAAAGAGAAAGACAAAATCGTTTCTAACAGCAAATTGATGAGAGATAAAACCCACATAAATTGCTTTCATTTTGCTTTTACCACCAAAATAACGGATTAGAAAATCGAATCGCCGAATTAACCAAAAAAATCTGATAATCAAGAATGTTGATCTCACCCCAAAAAGTTCATTGTACAGTATTATTTGACCTAAAGCTGTGTCACCATAAAGCGTTATGGCCAAAAAATGAGAGTACTCTTGTGAAAGTTTTTTTAAATGGTATTTTTTCAAAAAACGATAGAACATATTTTATACTTATAAAATATGTAACATTTCGTATAAGCTGTAACAAAATATATGACATATAAGAAATTACTAAAAATAATCAGTTAGTAAATAAACATCATTCTCCACTATTCGTCATCGTCTGGTATTGATAGCATAGGAGGCCTCTTTCTGGCTGAATTGGTATATGACCGTAGGGCCCATTCGGTTCTTTCAGCATCGGCATTGTCAATTGTACCCATTTTAATTAAATACGCTAAAATAATGCAATGATAAAAAAGTGCAGAAAACACTTATTTGTAAATGAAACTGCACTCTAACTAAACTATGGCAAACACTGCAGGATGAAGTCGTTGAGTTTTTTTGAGAAATACACAACAGTCCTTTCTATCCTTCTTCTTCTTGCAGCATTGCTATAATAATCGTAGACCTATGTATGATTTCATTTCATAACAAAAAACTTACGTCTCATTTCGAATCGCGGACCAATTTCCTTCAGTTTTATTTCACCATGTTCATCTTTACTGTACGTATGATGCCGAAAACTAATAAAATCCTCAGTATTGCTAAAACTGATAATCCGTCGACTATCAATCTTCGGCACAGGAAACAAATGTTTTAATATCGTGGTTAACTGGAAAGAGAGAAAATTGAATATACATAATATTTGAATATCACCGGAAGTTTGCTCATATTTGATAATTTATGAACTCACAAGGGAAAACCTAACTTACTCGACGTCCAAGAGCTGAATTAAGACTATCGAATATAAGATGTGGATATTCTTCCGACATGGTTCCACATTCCGGCACTTCGTGCCGCATCACAACATTTGCTAAAGTAAAATAAGCAGTGGGCCCAAAAGGTAGATGGCACACAATCATTCCGTCGGGATTACCACGCGTTTCATGCAACAGTATAAAATCCGTAATCTTAAATATACTGTGTTAAATAAAGATAACAAAAAAATGTCAAAAGCACTATAATACAAAAATTAAACAAAAAATGTTTTACAAATTATCATAAACTATTTTAGTCATACTAAAACCAATATATCTACTTTCAAATTTATCAGTCAGCTTGGAAAGTTTATTTGCTACTTTATCTGTCCCTAATATTGGTAAAAATTAATATCGTAGTTCCCTAAAATTACACTAAGGACGAAGGTTCGAATATACAGGAAGCTTAAATTAAATGAACACAAAAACTAACATCATTAGCTTTACAAGCTTGTATTAACTTTTTGATATCATAGTGTCCTCGATTGATACGTTGCGCATTTGGAAACATTAGCCGCATTTCCTACAACATACTATTTCCCATTTTCAATTCGACAAAATAAACATTTTTCTTATAATCTGCATTTCAACAAAAAATCGCAAGCTAAGAAATTGTGAAATATTGGGTTTGAAATATAGAGAAGAAAAATATTTACTTTTAAAAAAATTTTAAGTTTAGCTGACGGTTCACGACTAGTTGTTAATACAACTTTTGGATCAGCCGCGCCAGCGTAGCGATATTCATCGTCGATGGCTGAAACTTCCCCTAAAAATGCTAACAATAACAATGTTCTTGGAAGCAGTGGATAACAGTGTAGCAACAGATTTCAACAAAAAGACTGACTTGAAGAATCGTGGAAAAACTCAGGATATGCTTAAAATGAAGGGCACTAAAGCCATACATGCCTGCTACCAATGAAGACAAAAAACTCAGTTTTCGCAGGTAAACTCTGCTGTCTGCTTCATTTCAAACCCAACTATTTAACTCAATCGTTGTCGCTATAATGCAAAAAAAATTTAATTAAAATTTAATTTAAATACCTATTCTCTACAAGTAGAATAGGTATTTCAATTAAATTTTAACCGATCTTCGGAAAAAAAAGTGGTGGGAGTCTGAAACAAAAAATGAATTCCTTGTTAATGACACTCTTACCTCCCCATTCAACATCTTGCTGTAAGTCAATGGCATCTTTTTTCAAATGCGTCGGTATTGGTCTGTTTTCATCTATGTATTTCTTTACGGTTCGTCGTTTCTCATCGATTAAACGTTGTTTCTCTTCCAAACTTTTTCGATAAACATACTCAAGACGTAACCGTGCTTCACGCCTAATCATCTCTTTTTCTTCTCATCCTGAAATTCATACCGTTGAGATCATTGATGTAAGATATAACATTAATACACATCAGCATGGGTCTGATAAAAAAATCTCTCATCGAGAATTTAACCTGTCTGATAAATTAAAAGAGAAAAAAAATACTTCTGAATATTATAGGCCAGTGAAATATGAATGATAATCCGATCCCTCTCTAAAGTTACAAACCATAGTGATGGTTGGCTCGAAATGACACTACGCTATACTCTTTCTTGGAAATTAATCCACATTGTATCATTACAAATAGTACCGCCAAAAAAGTTTGGCCTCGAATTACCTAATCGATCCGTTCAGTCCCTTAATAGGTTAAATCATTGATTACGTAAACAAAAGTACGAGAAATAAACTGCAAGTTTGATTTAGGAAATACAGAATCCCTAAGAATTCTCAAAAAACTTTCTCCATAATATCTCTTTCCCTATCTTCTCAATACTATTGATTTCACTCTGTATTGAGTGAAATAAGAAGTGAGGAAGTGTATCCTTGATGGACACTATATCTAAAACTCATAATGGTCTCTTTTCATAGACTGATACCGCTCTCTACTTAAAGATAGAATAGTATTGGATAGATCGAAATCTTAGAGATACCGGATAAATTCGGTGAAAAGCAATATAACTTCAGAATAAGTGATGAGTTTTTTTTCTTGATCGAGATTCAAGGAATTCGATGAAAGACTCATTTGACGACAGTTTATGATTTAAACTTCATTAATCTTGTAATTTGAAGTTTCTTCTTCTCTCAAATTTAAACACTTACCAAATTTTCAAGATTTAAAAGAAAGATTTCTCCAGGACATAAATGTAGTGAGATTACACACACCAGTATGCATGGGTCAATTCCTGTTAGACACACTAAACTTCACCCGTTTGCATTTTCGGTATTGAACGGTTGGCCGATGATCTTATCAAATGCATTGTGCGGTGATAAATTACGTACGGTTATTTTATGGCGTTTGCGTATATGTAAGTATTGATGTCATGCATCATTCCGATTCATTCTTAATGAAAGATATCAAAACTAGTTCTGTTATCTGTTAATTATTGGATAATAACGATAGAAATATGGGAGAGGAAGCTAAAATGACCGGAGTTTTCATCTCCGATCCAGAAATTTATTTGTTCAAATAATACCATAACTTTACGTGTTTACGTAACAAAAAACAAAAACAGCACAACATATAAATTTATCCACATGTATCATCGTAAACAATGAAAGTATTTATATTAAATAACTATACTTTTATGATATCACTCGCATATATATTATCTACTCAACTATTGCGCATGTGCACGTTACGTGGAAAATATTTGGTATTTGCAAATGCTTCTAATGCAAGGTTGCTTACACGCCTTCGATCTAAGTCAAAATCTGCAGATATGAAAACGCTCCGATCAAGGATTTGTAGTTGAGTGATGTTTATTCGTAAAACTGAAATTTTTTGTTTAGAAATTATTCCGAATGAAAAGAATGGACAAAAAATAGCTATGCCATGGCTATATCGATTTTGATAGTTGATAATATGGTCTGAAGATGTGCAGTTCAACAATTGCTTACATCAATTAGCACCACTGATAATACTGTCAAGTCTTAGGAAGAGCAATAAATGTGATGATTGAGAGATGAAATGAGAAAAGAAAAAGCAGAGGCTATTCTAAAGAACTAATCAGTATGTCTTATCCTAATAACTGCAATCAACAAATTCGATGTTAAGAGAAAACCTTTAGGTATTGGTATCGGAAATCCACCACGTAAAAAATCGTTGATGAAACGTTGAAGCATTTCGGAACTTAGTAATGCAATGTCAGATAATTCATCATCACTTATATTAATATATCCATATTTGTTTTTTAATCGAAAATTCTCCACTGATGTCCTTCCAAGTAATGTATTATTCTACAAATAAATCATGGAAGAAAAAAAAAAGCAAATAATTAAGATTACCTATTTATCTCATCATTTATCCCAGGAAATTTTACCTCCACATGTAAATGTATGCTTGCAACAATATCCAAAGTAAATGCTGCCGCTTGACGGCTTCTTTGATTGGATTCTACAATGTACATGAATACCAAACCGTTTATATTAACCATTAATCCACCTGTAAATATGTATTTTATTTGGATTTGAAAGATTGTTTTAAATTTCATTTTTTTATTTTCTTTTAAGAAATTGCAAGTATGGTGAAAGTATCAAGAAATGAAAATGAAAAAGTAAATGAGTATGCGAACCGCCTTGTTTCGCTTGAAATAGCACTACAGGAGGTCGAGTAGGCGTGAAAATGAGTCGCACTTTGCTATCAGGAAACTGTTCAGCTATTTGGGGTATCAAGTCAGCAAAACAAATTCCAGTTGTACATGAGGTACGTAGCAACGGGCCTAAAGATGAAATTGTTTGATCGTCCACGACAAACTGTAACAAATGTTCCCTGCAAATTTTTGGTTGAAAAAGGCGCAATTCATAATGCTACGATCAATATGACACTATTATATAATTTGATTTCATTTGTGAATTAATTTTTTTTAAAAAAAAATCGCTATTAAAAATGTTTTATCCATTTTGACGTAATAATTTTTTCTTCTTAAACATATTTATTTCCTATTTAATGTTAGCTTCAAATGTGAGATGGAAATTTTGTGCTATCTCACATTTGAAACTAATTAGGGTAAAGAAAACAAAAGAATAGAAATGCATAAAATCATTAATAGCATTAAAAATGTGTAAAATATTCTTTTTTTTTTAATTTTTGAAAATTCATAAGGATATCACCAATTGCTACTTGCAGATTAACAGCATTTTATCCGACAATTTTAACTTAGATATTTCTTTTGTTCAATATTATACAAATAAATAAGATGAGCTTACGAGAAAGCATGATAAAGTAATGCGTTAGCAATGTAATCGGATATAAGCAAATGTATCATTGCATTTTGCTCAGGTTTTTTTGGCCAAAACATTGGTGCAGCACTGAATGGAGTTTTTTTTGTGATTCCTCCTACGAGTGAAATTTCGCCCATGTTAGATATTTCTACAGTATCCTTGTAACATATTGGATCTTCATTTAATCTGAAATAAGAATTTATTAATATGCACTGGTTTATGGCATAAAAAGTTAATCATTTGAGTTTCTATAAAATGATAACAAGTCATAAAAGCATAAAAATCAAAGAGAAAGCAATGTTTATTAAAATTTTAGTTCTTTCAAC